TTTAGGGCAAAAAAGAGAATATTTTAAATTGTGCTCTCTAAGAGAAAAGAACTGCTTGTTTTTTGATTGGGAGAAAATTTAAGAGTTCTATTCATTAAAATTGTCAACTATTCTTAAAAGAGTAATCTTTATGCATAGATTAAAATGGTATAATCTATCCAATTTTGTACTTAAAAATGCCCTTCTTGGTTAAAGTCTTTCAGTAAGCCATACATTTTCGGCAATAATCAGACTAGCAAGGTTAGTAAGAGAAAAACAAAGAATGTTTCAATTGGGCAGAATGTCATTCACCTTGATTTAGCTGTTGAATTAATAGAGAATGCACACACCAAATCACTCTGCTATTCCAGTCTTTTATTGGCATATTTTAAAAGGCAGCAGTCTAGGGAGAATAGTGATGTTTGATTAGCACAAGGGCCAGAAGGTAAACACAATAGCTGGATGGTTGCTTCATGGTTCAGCATATGACTGGCAGAGAATAAAATGTCAATTCAAGGCTCAAAGATGAATAAAAGGAACAAACGTGTTCTGCTAAGGTGTCTCATATCTGCTTCTCATCTATTTGAGAGCCATGTAAAGAGGTGTTGATGTCCAAGATATTTTGACAGAAAGCATTTAGAAATCTAAGTGTTGACGGCTGTCTGATAGTTTCCAGATATAGCTACATGTGTGAACTAACAGAAAACATTGGAATAGAAACCAGAGTCACAAGCTCAAACTTGTCTTTATAGAAGTTACTTTGTAAGTGTGGAATTGTCCAATTTATTACCTGAAACTCATACAAATTCCTCCATTCTGTCTTTTCTGGTTAAAAATTATGAAGTTTGTAACTTTGCTGTTAATTAACTATCTGATCATGAGAAAATTGCTTTCACTCTCTGAGTTTCTATATTCTCATTTGCAAGCTGAATAAAGATGGCATTAGATACTCACCAAACTGTCTTCCATGACTAACATAAGAATGTTGAAAAAAATATTGTCTGGAAGATTAAGGACAGAATTAATTAGTACAATCTTCTCAATAAGGAAGTATTAATTAAATATATTCTATATGATTAAGTCAGCATAAAGAGAAACTTTTAGCTTGTGGAGCTCAATTAGAAAATGGTTGAGGATCCCTTCAGGAAGGGAAGGAAGAAATGATTTCTGTCAGCAAGAACTCCATAGAAGGATGACTGAAGTCACATGCCTCAGTCCTTGTACATGGAGAATTGGGCTCTTGTGTATACTTTATTCTAAGAGCTAGGTTTGCCTTCTTGAAATTGGAGAACACAGAAGAAGATGCTGACATGGCATCTTGGTGAAACAAAAATATAGCTGTGGTCATGCAAACCCAAGTTGTGGGAAACATGGCAATGCAATGCCTGTATCTATCCTTAATTTGCCATATACTTAAATGCCTCTCATCTCTAACACCATCTCACAACATCTCTAGTTAATCCTCCAGTTCATCACTTAACAGAATGAAAGTAGTAAAGGTACTAACATAGAGAATCACAGTGAACATGACGTGAGATTCTTGGACAAAATAGGAATATGGTCACCACATTGGCTACATTTCTATTTCTTATTTTATAAATATGCTCATTTAAAATATTGTTTTATCATTTATTTTGGAATAAACTCCATTTGGTCTGGATAATTCTTTACACTGTGTTTTGATAAAAATTACATCATTAAATACTCATGTAACCTTTACTTATATTTTTTAAATGATTTGTAGTTTCTAGACTCTGAGGATTGTTAGAGTGTAAGTAGCCTAAACCTTAATGGCATCTCAAGACGTAAAGGTGACTTATCTCAACAAGAAAGACCATAGTGATACTCATTTATCAATATCTCAAGGCTCACTGAGGGACTCTCTGGAACTATTTGAGCTGTATAGTTTTTTTTTTTCCTGTCACACCTCTTCCATTTTCTTTCAGTCATATACAATATCAATATTGGCATTGAAGATATTTTCATTATGTTCTTCCAGTATTATTAGATACTATCTCTTATTTCATACCCTCCACCAAAGATCTACCTGGATCTTTCTGTATGTGATAGTATTTTTTAAAGAATGGAATATTTTCTGTGTGAGCTTCTTGAGTTGAGCAGTCATTATTCAATTTTGAAATCTTATTTTTTCAATATAGTTTGGTACATGTGAAAGACCTGACTTAGTTCCATTTCCTGTTGCAGTGACAAAAGTAACAAGGGAGAAAGAGTTCATTCTGGCTCATAGTTTAAGCTACAGTCCATTATGGCAGGGAAGTTCATGTGTAAGGATCCTGAAGCAGCTGATGGAATCACGTTCACCATCAGGAACAGAGAGGAATTTCTGCGTATTGACACTCAGCTTGCTGTCTCCATTGTACATGGTCCAGGATTCCCAGCCCAGACAAAGATCCCACCCACAATTAAGATGGGTCTTCCCACACTAAGTAACACAATTAAGATAATCCTTCACAGACATGCCAAAGGCCCATCTCCTAGGTGATTCTGAATCCTTTCAAGGTGGCAATTACCACCAAACATCACACTGCCCCAAATCGTTATTGAATGAATGACTTTAATGGATGAATAAATGAATTGTAATATTTACTAACTCATAATGATCTTGTAATTCTCCCACAATAAACATTTATTTTTCTTTATTCCTGTTCATTTTTTTAAATTTAAGGTTTCATCTACCAAAAGGAAATCTTTCAAAGATACAATAACTCAGTAATCAAACATCAACTTTTCTTTAGCAAATGAACACAGGGACATCACATGCTAATGACTGCTATGTGCATGCGTGTGTGTGTGTGTGTGTGTGTGTGTGTGTGTGTGTTGACATCGCAGTCTTTGAATTATTGGCCATTAACTCTTTTACATTGCCATTTAGAAGACATCTTTCTGTGAATGTATCCTTCCACTGTAGGTGACTTTAGCCTCTTCTTTTCAGGAAAAAAAAAAAAAAAAACTCAAAGCAAAATAAAACCCTAAACCTTAACAGATGACTCATTTGTTAGAATGGTAACTATAAACACAAGAATGTTTAAAACATTCCTTTTGATTTATTGAAAGCAGAAACCCTAAACTCAGTGCCTTGCTTTCTTTCTTTGTATTTTGTTTGTGGTTAGAGTCTATGTGCTTCATGCTTTAGAACCAGCAACATCTGTATGCTGAAACTCCAAGAAAAATCCTCAAACAGCTTTATTGCAGAAAACAGCATTTATGAACTTTGGCAGGAACTGAGCCACACTCAGTTTTGAAAATTGATTGGAAAAATGGACTGTGTGGGGAAGCTAGTCAAGGGGATTTTGAACTCTATTGTTAAAAGCACAAGGTGCCAGCAAAGCACAAAGTTCTGGAGGCTGAATGCTTGTACACGGTGCCGTGCAGGAGTCCTGAACACAGCCATTTGGACAGGCACCTAACACAGCCTCGCACATTCTCAGGGAGAAGGACAGCAGAAAATCTGCCACTTGGCAAAGTGTGTCTGCAAATCCAGTGTCTGGTTTGCATAGCTTACTTAGTTAACAGTCTCACAAATATTCAAAAATAACTACAGTTTACAAATTCTTTCATTACATCATAATATTCCTATAATTTGGGAGTCCTTTATAATTTGAGAGATCCCATTGTAGGGCTTGATTCTCATCTCCCATCTTTGCATGGTCAGGGTGTAGTGGGGTGAAGGCAGGTTTCCTTTCCTTCACTGTTAGCGTGTTGACTGTTGTTGCACTTTGAATAATCATAGCATCTGCCCTGGTGGCAATCCCTGATGCTAAATGACTGATGGGCTCCATCCTCCATCGGTAGTTCTTTCCCAGTACCTCATTGTTATGTAAACTCATCCCATCAGACCTGGCAAAGTCTTCTGTTTTCATATCCAACTGATTTTGCAGGCTGGTTGCTTGCCCAGCATGCCAAGGCTAGAATGGATATTTTTCTCCCACCATTCATGCCTCCATAGATTCTGAATGAAGTACGAAATAGGCCATGTGGCCCTAGGTGCTGGTCATGGACAAGGAATCTTTCATAGAAGCTAGAAGACTGTCTGTAGCTCTTACTGAGAGCCTTGTAAGGAAGCCCTTTTCAGAAATCCATGTTCTAATAGGTTTGAGTTGCTCTTTTAGTTTCTAAAAAGCTGATTTTTAAAGTAGTGGGCAAGGATGAAGGTTTCCTATCTCATGGTAACAGAAATTCTATAATTCTTCCCTGGATTCAGTCCAGTGCTGGATAATGCCGTTCTTCTTCCTGACCTTTATCTCATGCTAATGTGATTTTCCAAGGTATTTTTTTCCCTTCTGTCATGTGACCCAAGTTGGAAATATTCTAACCAATATGACAGATCTCAAGTCCACATAATAAGAACAGGAGGTTGGAGAGCTTATCTGAACCTGGGAAGCATGTGGGTTTCTGAAACTCTGCCTGTCTTCCTTGAATTATGTATAGAAAGAATGATGACTGTATTGAGTCAGACTGAAGGCTCTGTCACATCATTTGCATGACTCTGTCACAGAAAGCACGACTCAGGGGGCCACTCAGGGTGCCAAGGTGACCCACTTGTGTAGTTAACTGGTAACTACTTCTGCCTGAAAGGGAAAGAATAAATCCATTTCAATACAGGATCCTCAGCATGTGATAATATTTCAAGAAAGATAAAAGGATTAATTTAATCTAAATATTTCTTTGCACTGGGGACTCATTCTATGGTCCATTGGACAGCATCATAGAGTCAGTTGTCAGAGAAGAGCTAAAAATGGAGCAAGTTCTTATCAGTCTGGGGGAGTTTAAGTACTGACTCTGAGACTTGAGGAAATAGCCTCTGGGCCCATTTAATAAAGTGTGAAGTCCATCCACTTGTTCCTTAGGTGGGGATTCTGAATAAATTAACTACTGCAGTTACCCCAAAGTTATGTAGGGACACCTCCAAAATCCAAAATGGCAAGGCATTCTCATGCATCGTGGAGTTTAGCTGTGTTTGTGTTGGTTATTATACAAAAGTTTTTGTTTTTATTTTGCAGCCTCCGCCTCAGATATATGATAAACAGCTGGATGAAAGAGAACACACCATTGAAGAATGGAAAGGTGACTCTACTACTTGACACCTGTGTACTCTTTGCTTTGTTGAAACTCCGACTATACAAAGTATTTGGTCCTCTCTATGCCCTATATTCAGAACACAGAAAGTACCTAGAACTTCTTGTACAATAATTTATAGAAAGTTGATTTTTAAATGGCTGTCATTCGTTCAGTGCTGGAGCCTGATTGGTGGAGGGCTTGCCTAGACGCAAGGTCTGAGTTCAGCCCTCAGTTCTACAATAATTAAATGAAGTAAAAAACCAAAAGATAATGATCTTAAAAGTTCCTAAAGCCATATCTGAGTTTTATACTAATAGAAATATTATTTTTGCTCAGGAATGAAAATAATTATTCACACCTTTGTAAAATACTATTGATTGCTAAAATGTTTGCCACATAGTGTCGTGCTTCAATTGAATACTCAAAAATTAAACTTTCCTGTTTGTACATAAAATTAAAATTAAGGTTCCAGATATTGATGGTTCAATGGGGGAAGGCTACAAAAGCTGACAACCTGAGCTCAAATCCACATGATGGCAGGAGAGAACTGACTCCTATAGCCTCCACAAGCACCCCATGGCCCCCTCCAGTAAATAAATAAAATTAATGAAAAATTAAGTTTGAAATGTACTTAAAATAAAAAACAACATGATTAATACATGAATTAATTCACTAGACTTATAAGACTTGAGAGTATAATAGAATATATGTATGCTCAAGTGACTTATTTCTCCCTTAAATAAAAATCAGTGAATATATTGATTGAATGTTTTTCAACAAAACCACTGAATTCATACTGTATCTTCAAAATTATACTCAGTGTAATTGAAGTGCGGTAGAAAAACAAATCAGGGGGCTGGAAAGATGGCTCAGCAGTTAAGAACACTGGTGGTTCTTGCAGAAGATGCGGGTTCAAATCCCAGCACCCACATGGCAGCTAACAACTATCCATAACTCCAGCTTCAGGGGATCCAACAGCCTCTCTGTCCTCTGCAGGCATTACACAACACGGGTGCACTTACCTACACGCAGGCAACACACACATACACATAAAATAAAAATAAATGAAATTTAAAAAGAGAAAAACAAATCAAATCTATAAAGAAATTTAAAGCTAATATAATTAACTACAAAAAAGAATGGATATAAGAAAACCAAATATAGATAATATCAGATTATCAGCTCAAAACAAGAAGGAACATAAGGGAAAGGATGTTTTGAGTTACCTTTAAAGAATTAACTCACATAAATTGAGAAGAAGAAAATACCAGATGGTGGATACAAGAGGAACACAAATGGTAGGAATAACCCCAGGCTGTTATGAAGAGCAAACAAGTGAAGAAACGAAGTTTTTAACATCCTATACAAACAACACTAGAATGCACCCCCAAGACTTCAGGAAATAGCAATTTAAGTATTTTTTAGACATGGATTCATTTAATTGCTGTATGGAGGGCCTACTTTTGCCAAGTTCTATGATAAATGGAAAGAAACAGAAGTACAAGATTAAAAACCCCAATAATTTAATAACCTGCTTAATCTCCTGTTATTTGTCATTAACGAGTGTGTTTGTAGATTTACAAACTTTATTTTTTATAATATAAATAACTGTTTCTTACAGAACTTATCTACAAGGAAGTAATGAATTCAGAAGAAAAGACTAAAAATGGCGTAGTAAAAGGACAGCCTTCTCCTTCAGGTACTCAATCTCAGTGAATAACCAATAAACCAGTACTTGTGTGTTTTCTTGGCCTTTGAGGGAGCAGGGATTGCCACCAATAAGATTCCTTACAGAGCCTGGGAACAAATATCACATGACCTCTTCCCTATGATTGCAATATAATTTCTTTGACAGTACACATTCTTTCTAGGATTCTGATTCTAATGATACAGCACAGTAGATTTTAAACAACTGATTTTAAGATCGCAATGAATCCTGAAAAAATTTAACAGGAGCTGTTCAAGAGTAAATGCTTCTTATCAAAACGTAGAGCCATGATGTCCTCTAGACCACCAGGCTAATGTGGAGGTCAGGAATCTGTCTGTCCAGCAAGAATCTCTTTTCTTTTTCATTCTAAATGTTGAATTCTTTCCAAGTTGGGTGTGACAATGGTAGAAATATCTACTAAGATGAGCTCTGATTAAAATCGCCTTGCAAATTTTTTCCTTATTTCCTCCAGAATTGAACATACAATCTTATCTATACAGGTTTTGCAGATCTTATAATACATTTTAATATTACTTGAAATAATTCACTTATATATATTAATGTTATATAGTTTTCTTAAGACTCGTGTCTCAAATATAAAGAATTTTAGAACATATGGTGGGTCATTTTCAGTTGGAAACTACATTCAATTTTGTGATGGCTAGAATGAAGGCGGAAAAGGCCTGGTTGGAATGAAAATTGAGCTGGATATTTTATTTAATAAATAAGTATTCCCAGTACCCTGAAAGTTGTGGGGGAAAGGATATAGGACACATTAACTTCTATGACTAGTGCTCGTCTTTAAGTAACTAATTTTCATCCATAGTCATTGTGACACCCAGACAGACATAATTCAATTAAGATTTGCTTTTCTCACCAGTGGACTTCAGGCAATATCTAAATTATCCCAAGTCTCCTTACTTCAGAAGGTATGTGTTAGTAACTTTTTGTCATTGTAACCAAAGTACTTTACAAGGGGAGCAAGGTAAAGTGTGTTTTAACTCACAGCTTCTGAGAAATCACTTCATCAAAGCAGGGAGAGGGTGTCAGAGGGGAGCAGTCCCCATCACAGCAGGAGAAGAGGCAGAGAAAGGGGATGTCCATGTTCTCTGTCTTCCTCTTTTCTCCAGTTTATTTTGGCCCATGCCATGCTTCTCCAACCATCAGGGTGGCCCTTTGACACTCACTTCATCCCCTGGACATGTCCTCATAAATATACCCACAGGTTTACCCTCAATACCCTACTTTATTCTAAATCCAGTCAAGTTCACAGTGAAGACAACGTCACAAGTCCATGCCGTGTTCACTTGACAACAAAATGTATCACTTTAAACAATAGCATTCTACCTTTGCACCTGAAAGGCTTAAGATGCATTCAGTTCAATTCCAACAGTGCCCAATTCTTAATGCTTCCAGAATTATTCACAGGTCTTAAGTCCAAAGTGTCTACAGATTCAAAGCAATCTCTTTCTTAAAAGATTTGTTATTATTTTAATTTTTTAGTTATGTGTATATGTGTGGAGGATGGGCATGTACATATTAGTGCAACTGTCCAGGGAGGCCAGAGGTGTTGGATCCCCTGGAACTGGAGTTACAGGCAGTTGTAAACCACCCTTTGTGGGTGCTGGGAACTGAGCTCAGGTCCTCTGTGAAAGCACTTAACTGCTGAGTCATCTCTCAAAGCAGTCTCTTAGCTCTGAGCCCTTGCAAAATAAAATATAAGTTACATACTTCCACCATAAGATGGCACAAAGGAAACATCATTCCAAAGTGGAAGATTAGGGACATGAAAAAGGGGAAATGTGATCACAGCAAGGCTGAAATGCAGCAGTGCAAACACTAAATTCTGTAGGTCCGTGTCCAAGATCCAGTATTTATAGTATAATGATGAGAGCGCCAACAGGCAGCCCTATCCATAAGGTCTTGCTGTTTGCAGTCCACATGGTCTCTCTTTTGAACTGGCTCTACAGCTTTCCTTTGCAAATGTTCTGCATTCCTAGCGCAGCCAACATCCTGGTGTCCCCATTTCAGCCAAGGCTTCACTTTCACAACTTCGTATATCACCCTCGCAGGGACTGCTTCCTAGATGTTGCCTGCCCTTTCACTCCTTTCTTTAAAAACTGGGTGGAAGCCTCCATGATCACACAATTCTTGCATTCTACCTGCCAAAAAAACAGCACCATATGGATGATGCCAAGGTCTCTCGATAACTGGGACTTTTCTGGGCCTCCTTGGGTCATAGTTACAGCAGCTGCTGACTCCCTGGGTGGCTGAATCTTAGGGAAACACTTCCCTAGGTGGCCCTGGATGAGCAGGATTCCTTTTCTCAAGATAAAGTGTTTTGAGTGAATTTACAGTGCTACACTGTGGACCCTAGGATAGGTGGGGTCTGGCCTATTCCTGAAATGCCATCAGTACATCCTTCCCATTACAAAACACTTGGCTTCTTTTGAATGTCACTAGTTTTTTTACATGCCTATCTACAACCTCCAACTCATTTTTTTTTTCTGGCCAAATTGCACATTTAAAAAATACTCCCGTTCTACTTTTTACACCTGATCATTACTGAGGCCTAGCTATAAGCATCCAGTAATATCATACCACAGTCTGAATGCTAAGTTATCTCTAAATTTGGCCGCCAAATTAATTAGCTCATTAGTTTTCACTTACGTCTCATTTATAGTTTCAGGACAGAGCCAAAATATAAATTATTTGTGAGGATAACAGCCTCTAGTCAAAATCCAGATAAAGTCCTTGTTCCCATCAGAAACCTTATATTTATTTCTTGGATTGCTATCAGAATTTTGATCTGAGTTCTCACTAGAATCATCCATTTAACTCTCCTTACAACATTCTAGCCAGTTTCTCCAGACTTTTCCAAATTCCTCTGGCAATCCAATTTCAAAAATCTAAGAAACACTGTGTGCTGGAGCTGATGAGAACAACAGCATGCGTGTCTTCCCCAGTGAGCTCTTACTGACCTCGTGTTAGTGCCTTGAAACTAACCAGGGAAGATTTACAACATGGAAGCTGGCAAACCCCATCAGTCGGGCAGTTTTCCCTCTGGAGAGCCAACTATTGGCTTTTTATCGGTGCCTCACTCTAGGCATGTTCATATGCGTGCACACAGCAAGCTATAGCAGCAAGAAAAAGCAATTGCCAAAAAGCTTTCCAAAAGTTGCCTTTTTGACATTTTTCAGGATTGTGTTCTTTTCTCATTAATGTTTGCAGTACATTTTATTTTGCAAGAACCAGGATGAGATAGTGTTATGGTATAGATTCTTTTGCTATTTATGGGAACACTGGGAATCTTGTAGCAAAGGAGTAAGTTAATGCAAGAACTAAATGGTTCTGATACCGAAACCAACACTACAGTGATGCGTTAAAAAAGTAGATTGGAAGTTAAATGAGTATTCAAAGGGGAATTTATAGGCCTGAGATTTATTGATGGAATCATTACAAATCAATAAGAAATAGATCTAACTTCAGATGCATTCCTAAATAAATAATTCCACTCCCTTCATGCTATCTGATTTCAGTTACAAAGTGATTTGTTTTCAAGAATAGTATAGCTATTTGCTTTCTGGATTGATTTGTAAGCACTGCTGAGGGAAAGTGGAGCTGGAGTAGGAATTAATTTGCCTCTGAAAGCAGTTGTTACAGAATGTTAGAGCTAGAACAAAATATAGGAGGTTATATGAACCAGCAGCTCTATTCTGTCTGAGAAGAGAGGCTGGACTAAGGAGTACTGACTTACCAAGAGAAGGATGCTTGGTGTCAGAATGGACAGACACTTCTCAGTCTCTAAGTCAAGATAAAGCTCCAGTGTGACTCTCCCAGCTACAGTCACTGATCCTGAATAATGTTTATTTATTTGTTTGTTTGTTTGTTTGTTTGCTTGTTTACTTATTTATTTGTTGGTTTATTTAAAAATTTCAAGCTGAAGCCCAAGAACATGTAGATACTGAAGCAAATTTCTTCAGCAATTTTTTTTCTTTTTTCTTCCAATTCTTTCTTTGCTTTTTATTTTTTATTATTTTATTTTATTTTGAGACAAGGCCTCCCTGTAGTCACAGTGACCTGAAACTCACTGTGTAGACCAGGCTGCCCTGGATCTCAGAGACATCTGCCTGCCTTTGCCTCCTGAGTGCTGGGATTAAAGGTATGTGCCACCATGCCAGGATTGTATTTATTTTTTAATTTGTTGTTGGGGAGGCCGTTTTCAGGAAAACAGTTTACATTTAAGAAGCAGATAGCAATATGAACTTTTGGCTAGCTGAGAAATTTCCTCAGCACAAATTAGTTCATTTTATGAACTAATTTTTAAAAATTAAAGTAGCAAGTAGCTAACTTGTAACACGATTAGTATTTTTAGCTTGTTTTAATCCTATTCTTAACAAAAAATACAATATTCTATTGATGGCAATTAATAATAATTAAGATGTCATCTCAATAGAGGAGATCACACAAAGGCAAAAATAATGAATCTAACAGGAGTGGGCTCATTAGTATCTAACAACCATCTCTAAGAAAGTTAAGTAGTAGCATTTATAAATTTCTGCAGTGTACATATTTTCATTGGAACTAAATTCAAGAAACCAAGGCGATGATGATAAAAGCAGTTAGAAAGAGATGCTAATTGTTTGCTTTAAGAAGTCGCTGAGAGTCAGCTCTAGGATACCTATGGGTCAGTCCACATCATTATACCAGCATCACTTAATTTAATATGTCTAATTTCCAATCTACTACTATTGAGGCTTCTTACTCAATTGAATCAGATGTATTTTTACATACTGGCAATGAGCAGGAACAATTACATTTAAACTACCACCAAAAGAGGAAAAAAATTGTTAGTAATTTTAACAAATGAAGTGCAAACCTGTTGCTCCAAAGGATGTAACATTTTTGAAAAATAAATGAAGATGTCATAAATAAATGAAAGATGTTCCATTGTCCTTGGATTGGTAAGGTAGCAATGTTCCCCAAGGTGG